TCCTCCTCCTGCTCCTCATGCTCCTCCTCCTCCTCCTCCTCCTCCTCCTCCTCCTCCTCCTCCTCCTCCTCCGCCTCCTCCTCCTCCTCCTCCTCGTCCTCGAGGGAAGCAGGTCCTGAAAGGGCACGGGTCCTGGACCCCGCGGGGGGCTGTCCCCAGGACCAGCTCTTCCTCCCGAGTCGTGTCGTCGACGGTCCTGGGGCCCGAGGAGGGCCCCCAAGGGCCCGAAAGCGCGGCGGGAAACCTCCACACACCGTTCCCTGTGGACCCACACGGTGGAGGCTTTAGATGAGGGATGCCCTCGAGAAGGACCCCAGGGTCTCGTGACAGATGGGCGGCCACACGTCGGCCACCCACCTCGCCTTGAGACCATAAGGAATGCGCCAAGGCTTGGGCCCAGGAAGGCGTTCCTTGTCCAATGCCGCCACCGTATGGCATATGGCGGGATCGAACCGGATGGGGCCGGCCAGAAGCGATGTCGAATGGGCTCGATGTCGCAGCGAAGTCGAGCCCGAGGAGGATGAGGAAGGGATTACGGGATTACAGGATTACACCTACAACAGTCGTGGGAGGGACGAGGAAGGGAGGGAGGAGGGAGGAGGGAGGAGGGAGGAGGGAGGAGGGAGGAGGAGGAGGAGGAGGAGGAGGAGGAGGAGGAGGAGGAGGACTTGTTAGTTGAGCTCCACGCCCACGCCTCCCGATGCCTGACAGTCTGGCCAGGCTGGCAGTGCTGCAGCGGAGGGAGGCGCAACACGTGAGATGCGAGAATGCTCCGGCGGTGCGACGCACATGAGCCAGAGGATGCCTGCAGCAGGGCAGCAAGCAGCCACAGGGCCAGGAGTGACGCGTACAGCTGGGGCCGATCCACGAGAAACCTTCCGCTAGAAGCCCAACCCTGAGGCCCCAGGGCGTCCATCGATTCTTGGCGCGGGAAGGCCACGCTTGCCACAGCAAAACCATCGAAGCCCAAGAATCCCGGGGCACCCTGGCGGCAAGCAGGGTGCTTCTTGGCATGGGCCCCCACTGCACACCAGAGGAGATGCCTGCAACAGGGCACAGAGCAGCCGCGGGGCCAGCAGTGACGCACATGGAAACAGCCAGGCCGCGCCGTGGGCTTCAGAACCCTCCCTGGACCTCACCAGACCGCTCTCGCCTCGCACGCGTCTCGCCTTGCCTCGCGCGCGGCATCCCAGGGTTGAAGCTTGCGGGAGCCGAGGGTGCAGCCAGGCGCTCCACGGGGCCCGCAGCAGGGCCACTCGGCAGGGGGGGGGGGGGGGCGCCCCTCACAAAAGCCTCCAGGCCGCGGGATCCGGAGGCTACGCCTGGACAGGGGCCGAGGCGAGAGATCCGCCGGCCCTGTCGGCGTGTGTGAGGGGCTTGTCCGTTCAAGTCGTCATCTCCGTCATTCGTGGCTCGTCGAAGCTCCCCCACTTCCCAGGGACCTCCTCAGCGCGCCAGCCAAAGCGAAGTTGAGCAACGTCGTAACTGAGTCGAAGGGAAGCCCCTTCCCTTCGATCCCTCCCCCGCCGGGGGGGGGGGGGGGGCGGAGAGGGTCCCGGAGGGGGGGGGGCGGGTCAGATACGACGCCCCCCCTTGGAGTCACAGCCCTAAAAAAGCCCAAAGACGGGCCAAGGGTGGCCCACGAGGCCCCACAGACAGTCCAAGAGAACCCCGAATCGCCGAACGATCTGTCCAAGACGCCTTGACGGCCTCCAGACGGCCCAAGAGGCCTGCAAAGCGCCCCAAGAGGCCTCCAGGAGCTTCCCCACGAAAGCCCCAAGAGGCAAAATTCATGGATTTCCCATACGTTTTCGCAAGATGTTGGTGTTCTTGCCTCTTCCGCTTCCCGACGCGCCAAGACGGCCCAAGAGGCCCCCAAGATCGCCCCGAGACGGCCCAAGAGGCCCGCAAGAGGGTCCCCTAACGACCGAAGAGGGCCCCAAGACGGCCAAAGACGCCTCCAAGACGGCCCAAGAGGCCCCCAAGACGGCTCCAAGAGAGTGCCCAGACAGGGGACCCGAACGGACATTTCGAGCTCTCAGCCCCAAGAGGCCCCAAAGAGGCCCCGAAGAAGCCCCTAAGAGGCCCCAAGAGGCTCCCAAGGGGCCCCCAAACTGCCGCAAGACAGCCCAGGAGAGCCTCAGATTGCCCAGGAGGCCTCCAAGAGTGCCTCGAGACGGCGCAAGAGGAGCCCTGGACGGCCCAAGACGGCCTCAAGAGAGCCCATGGCTGTCCCAAGAAAGCCTCTGGCCTCCTCCTCTTCCTCTTCTTCCTCCTCCTCCTCCTCCTCCTCCTCCTCCTCCTCCTCCTCCTCCTCCTCCTGCTCCACCTCCTCCCCCTCCTCCTCCTCCTCCTCCTCCTCTGGTCCCTCCTCCTCCCTCCTCCTCCTCCTCCTCCTCCTCCCCCTCCTCCTCCTCCTGCCTGTCCTCCTCCTCCTCCGCCTCCTCCTCCTCCTCCTCCTCCTCCTCCTCCTCCTCCTCCTCCTCCTCCTCCTCCCCCCCCCCTCTGCTCCCCCTCCTCCTGCTCTCCTCTGCCTCCTTCTCCTCCTCTTGCTTCTCCTCCACATCCTTCTCCCCCCTCCTCCTACCTCATCCACCTCCTCCACCCTTCCTCCACCTCCCACTCATCCTCCTCCCCCTGCCCCCTTCTCGTTTTCATCTTCGTCGTTCTCAGGGTCGGCGGCACCAGCCGTAAGGCCTTTGCAATACGACAAGCGTGGTCAATCTGGGTCGTGACTTTGGCTACGCGCACCGATGGGAGGAAGCAGCGGCGCGTCGTCCTCCTCTTCGCGAGGAAGGGCGGGCAGGCGTGAGAGCCGCTGTCCCTCCGGAGAAAGGGGCACAGCGGGGCCAGCACCAAAGAGGCTGGCTCGAGAACAGGCGTGTCGGAAAGCAGCCTGGCGAAGGACCCAACCAGATTCAGCTGCAAGCATCGCGAGGCAGATGAAATGGAGGAGGGGGGCCACCACACGGACTGCGGCACTCGTGAGAAAGGAACAGGGGGCACGGGCTCGAAAGGGGATGTTCCGTTTGGCCCGAACAACCGGACGCAGCCGTTGTCGCGCCCATGTCCTTCCCAGTGTGCTTTGTGCGTTGCGTTCCTGCCCGCCTGTAGCCACGAAGCGTGGGGGTTTGCCGAATCGGGTACGGGTACGCCATGCGGGCCCTGCCGTTGGGGCTTTCGGTGGAGCTCCTTACCGGGCCACGAAACGTGTAAGGGGGGGGGGTCGGGTACACCATGTGGACCCTGCCGTTGGGGCCCTCGGTGGAGCCCTATGGGGCCACGAAACGTGTGAGGGGTGTGACAAATCGTGCGCGGGTGCGCCATGCGGACCCTGCCGTTGGGGCCCTCGGTAGAGTTCCTTTATGGGGCCACGAAGTGTGCGAATAGTGTGCCGAATCTGGTGCGGGTACGCCATGCGGAAACTTTCGCTGAGGCTTTCGGTGGGGCACCCCTAAGGGGCCACGAAACGTGTGAGGGGTGCGCCTCTGCCGCCTGCCTTTGCTTCCCTCGAAACGTGACTGACGGCTCCTGCGGGAGCAAGAAATGATGAGTAGACCCTGGAACTAAGAAATCGAAGAGCCGATACGGCCCGCGACAGCACGATGCCGTTCTGAAGGCATGCTGTTGCAAGCCTCAGGAAGTTGGGCCAGAACGGCTTGAACCAAAATGGCTACAGAGGAGGAGGAGAGGAGGAGGAGGAGGAGGAGGAGGACTAGGAGGAGGAGGAGGAGCAGGAGGAGGAACAGGAGGAGGAGGAGGAGGAGGAGAAGGAGGAAGGGGAGGAGGAGCAGCAGGGTTGCTGCGTCCTCCTCCTCCTCCTTCTCCTCCCTCCTTCTTCTCCTCCCTCCCTCCCTCCCTCCCTTCCTGTAGGGCGCCCGCCCGACGCGGCCGCCTGATGAGATCGGGGTCCACCGTCTGGTACACCAGAAAGGCGTCGGTCTGCACTGGCGCCCACGCGCGGCAGCTGCCGGTGCCGCCGCGGCGCTGCAGCCTCTCCGTGGTCTCCCGCTCGCGCCTGGGAAGCCATCCTCCACGCGTTCGCCGCTCCCCTCTCCGCCCCTTCGTGCAATTCCTCCTCCTCCTCCTGCTCCTGCTCCTCCTCCTCCTCCTCCTCCTCCTCCTCCTCCTCCTCCTCCTCCTCCTCCTCCTCTCTCTCCTCTGGTCCCTCCTCCTCCTCCTCCTCTCCTCCTTCCTCCTCCTCCTCCTCCTCCTCCTCCTCCTCCTCCTCCCTGGTCCCCCTCCTCCCTCCCTCCTCCTCCTCCTCCTCCTCCTCCTCCTCCTCCTCCTCCTCCTCCTCCTCCTCTTCCTCCTCCTTCTCCTCCTCCTCTCTTCTGGCAATAAATACACTCGGCCAGGAAACGCTCAGCCGGCTGGACTCGGCCAAGCTGAACTTGGCCAATCTGAACTTGGCCTGGCTGGACTCGGCCCAGCTGAACTCGGCCGAAGAAAAGTCGGCCCGGCTGAACTCGGCCCAGCTGAACTCGGCCAGCTGGAAGCTCAACTCGGCCCTCTGAACTCAGCCGGCGCTCTGGTTGCAGCGCGAGCACTGGATGAGACCGGGCGGAGAAGCTCGGCAGGAGAAACTCTGCCTGGAGAGCTTCGGCCAGAGGAACTCGGCCCAAACACTCGGCCACACTGAGCATTTTGGACGTAACCCCCCAGTACACCCCTCCAGCACAACTCCGCAGCAATCTTCCAAGCCAGATCCCCACCACCCCCAGCGCAACCCCCCAGCACAACCCCCCGGCACAACCCCACAGCACAACCCCACAGCACAAACCCCCAGAACAATTTCCCAGCCCAACCCTCCAGGTCACCCCCCACACAACAGCTAGGATCACAATCCACCAGCACAGACCTCCAGCACAGCCCGTCCAAGACAACTTCCCCAGCACAACTCTCACAGCAGTCCTCCAGCACAACCCTCCAGCACAATCCCACAGTACGACCCTTCAGCACAACGCTCCAGCACGACCCTCCAGCACGACCCACCAGCACAAACTCCCAGCACAACCCCTCAGCACAACCCCTGAGCACAATCCCCCAGCACAGCCCCCCAGCACAGCCCCCAACACAACACCCCAGCACAACCACACAGCACAAACCTCCCAGCATAACCCCCCAGCTCAGCCACGGCTGGGGAGCACAATTTCCTGGCCCCGCCCCCGAGCACAGTCCCCCAGCACAACTCAGAACACAATCTCCCAGCACACTTCTCCAGCGCAACCACCAGCCTTCCCCTCAGCCCAGCTCCCCAGCACAATCCTCGAGCACAAACCCCCAGTAGAACCCACCAGCACAAGCCCCAGCACGACGCCCCAACACAACCTCGCAGCAAAACCCTCCAGCACAACCCGCCAGCACCACCTCCCTAGCATAACCCCAACGATCAACCTCTCAGCGCACATCCCCAACATAACCCCTCCCGGCACAATCCCAGCGCAAGTCCACAGCACAACCCCGCAGCACAAACCCAACGCAGAACCTGCCGAGCACAACCACCCAGCATAACCCACACCAGAGCAACCGCCCAGCACAATTCCCAGCACAAGCCACACACACACAGCTCAACCCCTCCCCCAGCCCAACCCCCCAGCACAACCCCCAGTGCAACCCCCAGCACAACCACCCAAGGCCAACCTTCCAACACAATCCCCAGCACAACCCCCCATCACAACCCTCCCAGCACAACCCCAGCGCAACCCCGCACAGCAACCTCCCGCCACACACGACTAGCAAGTTCCCCCCCCCAGCGCAACCCCCCCCAGCACAACCCCCAGCAAAACCCCCCAGCACAAACCCCTCCAGCACAACCCCCCCAGCACAATCCCCCCGCACAACCCTCCAGCGCAACCCCCCAGCACAACCCCCCAGCACAACCCCGCAGCGCATCCCTCCAGCGCATCTCTCCAGCACAACCATACCCCGCACAACCCTCCCAGCGCATCCCCCCAGCACAACTATCCCGACCACACCCTCCCAGCACAACCCCCGGCACAAGCCCCCAGCACACCCCTCCAACACATTTCCCAGCACACATACGCACACGGCACAGATACCGACAACAACTTCCCCCAGCACAACCCGACCCAAGGCACAACCCCTCAGCACAACCCTCCTCCCCATCAGACACACCCAGCACAACCCCACAGCGCAACATCCCAGCACAACCCTCTCAGCACAAATCTTCCAGCGCACCCCCCAGAGCACAACACCCCCAGCACAACCCCACAGCACAACACCCTCACAATCGGACCCAATGCACAACCCCGCAGCACAACCCCGCCAGCACAACTCTGCAGCACAACCCCAGAGCGCAACGTCCCAGCACAACCCCACAGCACAACCCTCCAGCACAACTCTCCAAGCGCTTCAACCCCCGAGCACAACCCCCCCCCCACAGGGCAACCGCCCAGCACAACACCCCCAGCGCAACCCTCCCAGCGAAACCCCCCCACAGCCCCCAGCACAACCACCCCAGCACAACCCTCCGGCACAACCCCCCAGCACAACCTCCCAGCACAACCCCTCCAGCACAACCCTCGGCACAATCCCCTCACACACCCAGCACAACTACCGAGAAAAATCCCAAATCATAAACCCCTGAGCACAACCCCCCAGCACAACCTCCCAGCACAACCCCCTTCAGCACAAGCCCACAGCACAATACCCCCAGCACAGCACACACACCCAGCACAACCCTCAACACAAGGCTTAGGTCGGGCCTGTCCCCCTACAGGAGGATTTGGACGAAAAATAAAAAATAGTCGAAAAATTATCAAAAGATGCCCAAAAATTCTCACAACAAAAATCCCCAGACTATATCTGGACTATTTTTGAATATTCCCCCTGTAGAGGGACAGGCCCGACTTAACACAAGCCTCTTAGCGCACCCCCCCAGCATAACCCCCAGCACAGCCCCTGAAAGCACAGCGTCGCAGCTCACCCCTCAGCAAGCCCCTGCCAGCACAACCTCCCCTTGCACAACCCCCCAGCACAACACCCAGCACACATACCCAGCGCAACCCCCAGCACAACCCCAAGCACAACCCCCCAGCACAACCCCCCAGCACAACCCCCCAGCACAACCACCAGCACAACACCCCAGCACAAGTATGAGGGCCTGAGTATGAGCGGGCCTGAGTACGACACAAATTCCACCGACCCTTCGGCGTGTGCGAGAGCTTGCCCTCAACGTCGTCGTCGCCGCCGCCGTCGTCGTAGTCGTCGCCAGTCCCAAAGATATTGAGCAACAAAGAAATAAGACGCCTCCTGGTTGAGTCGATCCCCTCTCCTTTTCCCTCCCTGACGGGGAGGGTGCCCCGGGTCAGAACGCCCCCCCCCCCCCCACGGGGTCCCGGCGGGTCCCGGGCGGAGCCCAGGGGGTCCCGATGGGGTTCGCTAGCGAAGATCCTGGGGGGAGGCTTTGCCTTCAGGGTCTTGCGGTGCCGGCCGTGAGGCCTTCGCAATAACACACGATGTCGAAGGACTGCGTGAGGAGCAGATTCCGCCACGGCTCCCAGCGCCGCTCCATCGCACAGGCCCCCCAGCACAGTCCCTCAGCACAGCACCCCAGCGCAAGCCCCCAGCACAGCCGCCCCCATCACAAACCCCCCGCACAACCACCCAGCACAACCTTCCAGCAGAAGCCCCAGCACAACCAATACGCCAACTGAAATCTAGCCGAAAATCTGCACCTGGAGACCCGCAAGCCAAAATCTTCGCCAAAATCAGTACCCAGATCCCCGCCAGCGTAAATCTTCATCAAAATCTTCACCCAGAGAGCCGCCAGTTTAATCTTCACCTAAATCTTCACCCAGACCGCATCGATCCCAAAAAACAATGTTCAGCTTGAGCCCTGTCTCCTGGCACCGCCATCGGCAAAATGGACAGCGCAATGTTTGCCGCGATCACCAACACAGGCACCGTGTTGCGTTAAGAATTTCTACGATTCCAAAACTGGCTCTCGCAAGGGGGTTAACAACATCAGCGAAGCTGCGTTTCAACTTCTTACTCGAATCTTGATTATCATAGCTTGTTTACGACATGCTGGGCCACCTCAGACCTTCAACAAGCTCTGAAAAGGATTTGTAATTTCCATGGCTTCGCGAGAACCGACCCGTTGCGAGGTTCGAGGTAGTTTAAGTCGCAGGTGTTGCGCGCGCGTCCTGGCTACCGCAGGGAAAGCCGCGGGCAGGGTGATGCTCTCGCGCCGCCGCCAGGCGCTGCATTTTATGAATTCCCTCTCTCGCTCCCGCCTTCATGTCGTGTGGAAGGCATTCGTGTAAGCGAGGTTGCCCGGAGGGGGTGGGCCGGGAAGGTTGGCCGGGCCGGTGTCCGTACGGACATCGATACAGCCGTGGGCCCCGCTCATACCAGAAAGCTGAGTCCGAGCGTGCTGCCCGCTCGCTTTCGGCACGCACTGTGCGTGGTTCAGAAGAGTTGGCCGGGGTTGGCAGGGGCGTTGGCAGGGTCTGGCCGTGGTTGAGTCATGACTTCTGCCTGCAGCAAATCATAATATCCTCTTCGCTTTGATGTGCCACATCCTTAGGACTGCCGTGCTGTTTGTTTTACTTCGCCCCGGCTTTCTGTATCTGGCGGCCGGGGGCTCTCGTCTCTGTGCCCGCGAGGCCTCGCGCAGGGTGGTTGGTGGAAGGGGATGCGAGGTTGTGCCTCCGGAGAGCCTCGGCCGAGGGGGAGGGGAACTGGCCTTGGGGGATCGCGGGGGCGTGGCTGGGTGGGAGGAGCGGAGGGGGCTCGGTAAAATCCAATCTTTTTGTTGTAGGCGCGCCAATGTTGTGCCTGGGTGGCCTAGCTGATTCTTAGTTTCGGACGGGACGCATGCGATAGGGAGAGACAATTTGTTGTGGGTAGGGAAATTCGCGTGACGACAAAACGTTCTGTAGTCACGCAGTTGCTTGGCCCTGATGCAACCATCCCGAAGGAGACAAGCAGTGAGCAGGGTGAAAAAGGATGCGGTGCATGTGCGATACTGCGAACCTGCGCGAACAGTCACGCACATGTTGCG